CATCCTAAACGTTTTCTGTGCAGACAAAACGTCCGTTTTCAAACCCAACAACCAACGTGCCATACACTTTAAACCTTCTAGTCGACAACGCGTTTCCTCAGGGAGTTGATCTTCGCGACACCATTCTCCTTCAATGGTATCAGCTGTTTGTTCAGTACTTTCTTTCACGAGCAATTCTTTAACAATCTGTAAGATCATTTTATCGTGTATGAAAATTTTAAGACAATTTTCAAATTATTTAATATATATATATACGTATTTTTTTTATCTGTATGATATATATATATATATATTTATATTATACATACTTTTCTCGATACCATATTTTTTATTTGTACTTGATATTTATCAGGCAAATTATATGCTATGTGACCTAATGTAACTATAGAAGTTCGATAGAACTCTGATGTAGGTGTTAATGTCATTTTAATTCTTTCAATAATTTCTGGAAAAATTTTATCGTGAATATTGGTCATGTTAACGAATAAACACCTAACAGCTTGCTTAGCTTGTTTCGGGGTTCCTGTTTCAGCAAAATTTTTGCAAATTGGTACCATTAGATTCATAATATCAGGTGCTACCTCGCATAAAGGTTTATATTTTCCTAAAAATGTAAAGATCGATAGGACAAGTGGTCCTACCATTTCATCTTCTATTTTTAGAAAATGTACCAATTGCATTAGAATATCATCATGAAGAAAATGCGGACCAAATACAAAAGACAACATCTGCAAATAAAAAATTATCACATTATCGTTAGAAAAATTTAAGTTACTATCTCGTTACAATTTTTTCATTCAACTTATATATATATACCTTTTTTAATTACTTTAAATAAAAAAATAAACTTACAACCAATAGTCTCAAACCCTTTTCTCCAGCATTATTCGGATTAAGACCAACTTCTTCTATTACATTACCTCCTTTTAAACAATCTAATACGTATCCTATCAAAACCTGTGAAATTGTTTTTATATTTATTAAGTTGCATTCTAAAAATATGCTTGCATATAAATAATAAAATATTTTACTCACTCTGATAGCTTCTTCATCGATCATGACAGAGCTCACTCTTTCCAATAACATCTTTATTGTATTATAATATAAGTTAGTCATTACCGGTTGTCCCAATTTTTTCAAGACTAAACTTATTGTATCTGCACACTCCTTACAGGAAACATTAGGCTGAACGATAGTTTCCATTCCTTGCAATAATGTTGAATCTTTTTTCATATGTCCATTGAATTTTTGTAAAAACTCTTGCACTTTCATAGGATCGGGTAGAAACCGTGAAATTTGATGAATCTTTGTCATTAATTCATTGGTAGCTTCTGGTCGTTTTATAATTTCCAGCCACTCAACAACAGCCCTTCTTACTCTACACAATGTATATATTAAAACATAATTAATATTAAATACTTATTTATTTCAAGATTTCTTGTGTTAAATGGTAATAATATGTACATAATATAATTATAACAGATGAAAATGATATGCTATACTACCGTGTGTGTACAATACCGTGTATAATTTTACTCACGCAAGCTGATGCTTTTGCAATTCCACAAAAGCTTTAGATGCATGGTCATCGATAGTACCCAGTAAATGATACAATTTTTTCATTCTTTCTTCTGGTGGTAACTGATAGGGAACTAAGCATGTATTTAATAGTCTCTCTACCAATAATCTATCTTCCATGCTTGCCATATAATAACCGTGTAATATTTTATCTTTAATCCATGTAACAGCTTTTTTTGTAGCCTGTGGTACGTCTGAGTCATTCAAGTGTTTCTTATAAATCATAGCAAGGCCTGCCATAGCTTCTTTTCTAATTTTAAACTGACGATACAAAATATATAAATTATATATTTATAGATAATTATTATTTTGTCTGTTATGTAACTTATTATTATACCTTCTTATCCAGGGTTCTTTCTTTTACGAATTCAAGTAAATCTTCGCTATCAGAGACTACTTCAAAATCTCTCCTAGCGGTAGTTACTATAGCCATAACTACTTCATATCTTACACTTTCATCAGCGTCATGTTGTCTTAATTTTAAAGTATCAGTTATGTCTTTCCTAAGTTCTGGATGATTTAATAAAAAATGCATTGAATACTGGACACACTTAATACGAATGGAAACACTAATATCATTAAATCTTCCCAAAAATGCTCTCCATAATTGTGTATGTTGAACAGCTAATTGAGACCCTTTTTCTGAAAACATTCTAGCCAGTAGTGCTACTGCGCCTAATCTTTCTGTTTCCGATGCAGATTTTAATTTACATTCTAATTGCGGAAGGACGGACAACAAGACGCTTGGACAGATATGATTTAATTCGTAAATTAAATCATATACTTTCTTACAAATTTGTAAGCTTTTTTCTTCTTTTCCCAGTATCAGCACGTGATTAAAAAACTGAAAAACATATTGAATTTGTAATTTTATCGGATTACATATTCTAATTTTAATTTACTATATCATGTTTTTATTTGATATCAAACTTACTCCTTGAATATATGACTCCAATGTATCGCTACATTTAATTATTAATTCTTTAGCAAGTAAATACGCATTCTTTTTTTGTGTTTTACTTGGTTCTACAATGTTTATAAGTATAATGTCCAATAGTTCATTACTAACAATATCAGATTCTGTAATTAGTGGACAAAGGACATCCAACATAAAACTTTTAACTTTTCCAGAATGTTCATCGCTGGAAGGAAGATTAATAATAATAATTAAATTTAACGTAACTATCAAACAAAATAATTGTTGAAGTAATTAATGTAATCCTTTTTAAAGAAAGAAAGAAACAGAAAAAAGAGAAACTTACTTGACTATTTTAAACATAAGTGAGAAAAGTGCACAGAAAATTTCTTGACAGTCTTCGAGTTCAAAACACATATTAAATGATTTGACGTATGCTAAATTTTCAAGAAGATAAAAATATCTTTTGAAAGCAGGATCTTTAGGATCTTTTAATCCAGCTAGTTGTTTGATTAAAAACAGAAAGATAGTTTTCACCTAAAAATGCATAGAATTAAGATTATATTGATATATTTGATCACATCCTTTAATTACCGTAATATTATTATAATATATTGATAAAAATATAAAGTACAAAATATATCTACCTGGTCAGCATCTTTATACGGTGCTTCAGGAGCATAAACTCTTAATACGTCTGCAATACAACATGCAATTAACAATTGAACATCTTTACTTTGATGCATCAAAAAGTGTTCTTCTGCTAAGTGCAACGCTAATGGAATATATTGTTGATACATTCCTTCATCTTGACCCATAGCTTGTAATGTATGAGCCAATGTCTATATGTCCAAATAAAAGAACATATTATTTTTTTTATCAATGGATTTATTATAAGAATTAAAAAGGTATTAACTAAATAAGCTAGAACTATTTATAGCAATTATACCTTAAGCCTTCTAATTAATTCATCTGGGCCTAGATCCTCGGTAACAGATCTACACCCTTGAGGGTAGACAATTTCTGACATAATGTTTATCAAGTGATCCAAATATGTATAGAAAACTATTTGTTCTTAAAGTAATCTAGAACACGGTCCAAATTCTGTAACGCAATCATATTTTTAAATAAACTATAAATATTTAAATTATTATACAATTTTTCTTTTGCATTTTACTAAAGAAATATATTATGTAATAGCTATAAACAATAATAATAATTTATAAACAAAAATTGTAATATGAATTGCATCAAATATTTATATCAAAACGTTAACTTCTCTAGAGTCAAATATAAAATTTAATTAATATCAAAATAAGATAAAGATTACATGGAATCTATAAATAGATAATTAATCATATATTACTTCTTAATAATTTTTCATATATAAATATATACATATGTGTATACAAGCAAAGATATATCGTAGATAATAATATCTGTTCGGTGAATAATTATAAATCTCAGACAATTTGTAGGTTATGTCCGTTCTTGTGCACGTATACAACAGACTGCATAAACATGATATTATATATAAAAATGTCGATCTAATGATAAACTATTCAGTATTATATGTAAAAAAGTGCCAAATATATAATTATATCGATGATATATTTACCTCAAGATATGCATAGGCACTAAAAGTCCTATGACACTCAAAATATCAATAAAGCAAATGTAGCTGGATGAACACACGGCACAAACTTAATTTTTAAAATGAACTCACAATATATTAAATTAATAAGTACGAACGTGTCGTCTTCGACGTAATTTTCTGAATTTTCTGTAAATACTTGGCATCGTAAAAATAATCAAAAGGTCAGCGAAAAAGTGGCGAAATCGTTTTCTTAAACGGTTAAGCGTGTCAAAGGACGCGACAGCACAATCCGAACGTTTGAAGTTAGTTGCATATGGTTGCATTCATATGACTCACGACTGAATCGCTTTTCAATTGGACAAATACATTATGATACGCAAAAAATAATTGGTCGAATGATTAATGAAAATCTAATTGACCAATCACGATTTTTTCATTTCTTTTGTATTTTAGAACTTAAATTAATCGATCTAATGTTTCCATTACTTCGCGATACAGAGATTTGACGGTTTCGATATTACCAATGGTATGAATAGGAATTTCGCGGGATAGATGACCCATTAAATCATTGGTTAATTCATATATCACTTTACAACTGTGATTTACATAAAGGTTATCGATGTATTACAATACAATGTATTATGAACAATTAATGCTATTTAAATGGAGTATTTTTAATGTGTATTTACTATATGATTAGTATATATAGGATAATATCAAATTTGAATAATTATTTTTACCACTTGTAATATTTATTCATTTGAGATTTTCGATGTATTATTCCTTTAATTAAATTTTATTTAAATTACAACATAATATATTTAATAAAAATTCTTATCAAATATGTTAGTTCAAAATTTTGTTAGTTTTGCCTTGAAATTTGACTTCCGTATACATTGGCGTCGCTTCCTTCTACTTCCTTTCGAATCGACACGTGCAACGTCCATGTACTCTGGTTCAGCGCTGGTCAGTTTGCAGTTGAATTGATTATCTCGACCAGGAAAATAATCATAAGCAATGGTAATTCATCATTTTATCATTAAATTTTGTTTTATATGTCTTATAATATAAACATATAATAATTGTTTAATTAAATATAATTGAGATTGAAATATAATTTGAAGGTTATGTTAATAGTATATATTATATGTTGTGTAGTATGTTATATGCGTTTAATCAAATGCTTGTTTATAAAATCTCTTTTTTGAAATTATACTTTTGTTTTTTTTTTTTTTTTTTTTTTTTTTTTTTTTAATTTATTTGCTTTTTTATATATAGGCAAGTACGAAGGTAGACAATCCTGAGAAGCCAGGACAAGAAATGGCTCCTATTCATCGTATTAGGATCACGCTTACTTCTCGTAACGTTCGTTCCCTTGAAAAAGGTTGATTTTCTCTTCTCACACAACACCTTTTTTAAATATAAATTCATATATGATATAATGTTGATCTGCTAACAAGATCTTTTTGCAAATGTTTAGTATGTTCCGAACTGATTAATGGAGCCAAAAAACAGAAACTGAAGGTCAAAGGGCCTGTTCGTATGCCTACTAAGATTTTAAGGATTACAACTCGTAAAACTCCTTGCGGTGAAGGATCAAAAACATGGGATCGTTTCCAAATGCGAATTCATAAAAGAGTCATCGATTTGTACTCTCCATCAGAAATCGTTAAACAAATAACAAGCATTTCTATCGAACCTGGTGTAGAGGTTGAAGTTACCATTGCAAATGATTGAATTGTATGAATAAGAGTGTCTACAGTTTTAATAAAAATATAAAAAACTGAACTTTACGCATTGATTATCTATATGAAAACCTTTATGGCATTTTCTTTAATGTTTATTTTTACATAAAATGCTTTTCATATGTTCTAACTGTGACCATAGTCATCGATAAGTATTTAACATTAACTTGCAATTTTTAAAATCTAAATACTTAAAAATGCATTACATTGTAATGTTCTATTTTCTATATACTTTGTGATATAAAATTTATATTCCATGTTGTAATAGGCCTATACAGTAGAATCTTATTTGTAATGCAAGTACCCATACAGTTGAAGAGTACTTGTAAACGATATATCCGTAATGAACGGATTAAATGTTAGAAGAAAAATAATATGCGAATCATTTACATCCATAAAAGTAGAAGTATTTTTATTTGAAAGAGTACTTTAATAAAAAGTTTCATATTTGTCTATCAATTGAATTTATGAATTGATGAAAATTTGATAAATTTAAGCTTCTTCCGCAGATTCATGCCCTGTTTTTTCATCCTCTGCACCTTCACCACCGCTAAAATCATCCATCATACCTTCTACTTCTTCATCGTCGTCATCTCCAGCAACTTCTGCATTTTCAAATTCAGCTTTTTCCATTTGTCTTGCTAATTCTGCTTCATCGGTAGCAGTGACAACTTTAGGCTATGAGTTAAATTTCAAATTTTTACATTCTATATAATATAATTTCTTATAGTACAAGATATTGAAATATTCGATACAAAAAACACATTTAATATAATAAAATTAAATCTTACAGCCATTTGAATATTAAATACTCCGCCTAGGGACGTTATTTTCTCTTGTATAACTTCAATAGCGTCGCTTAATGTTTTCAACCCATCTTGTTTTTCTGGTGTTGATGTTGTCATGACTAAACATATTATTTAATATTTGTATAGAATCAATTTAAATAAAATTCATAGTAATAAAAAGAGAGTATGAATTTCAAATATGTATATAAAATATTGTAGTAAAAATATATGCATGTACCATATAAAGGAGGAGCAATTAAATTAATTTTAATAGGAAGTTCTTCGGTAGAAAGTGCTAACCCAGCTTTTAAAGCACTTTTTACAGCATCGATTCCTTCATAACCATAACAAGCAACTTCTACATCAGCTCTAATCTTAACGGCTTGAGAAGTCAATTTCCTTTTAATATTATTCAATAATACTTCTTTCGTATTTTCATCAAGCCCACATTCTGCTAGAATAGAGGGGTCTCTAAAGTAATAATGCGTACAAATATTATTATTATAACGATAAAGAAAAATTCAACTTAACATTAAATACCTATAACAAAACTTACAGTACTGATTGTTTAAAGAAATCATATGCAGAAGCAGCCTGCTTTTTATATTTTTCTTCAAAATGCCATGCAGTTTTTTGATAGAGTTCTTCTAACTGATCGTCATTGTCATAGTGTAATAATTCAGCGACATGTCTTAAAATTGAATTAACAGCTTTAGCTTTGGCATATCTTTCTGTACATTTTTCTACATCTTCAGCAGATACACGTCTTTTACTTAAATCGATATAACCTATGGAAAATTATAATTTAAGTTATTTAAAATTATATTAAACATTATATTTAAAAAATATTATTAACCACTTGCAAAACCAAACATGAGTAACACAGGCTCTACTCATGCGCTCTTATAATTTCTGTACATTAAATTATAGTGCAAGGGGTTAATAATTAGTTAATTATATCTACCTTTTTCTTTATCCACTCTAATGACAACAACTGGTTCAGTTTTGCCTACTCTAATCAGTTTATTAATAGATCTGATACGCCTTCTGGACAATTCAGAAAGTAATATCATACCCTCGATATTATTATATTCTAATAAATGTACATATGCACCCATTTCGGCTATACTTCGTACATTTACCATAACTACATCCTCCACTTCTGGATATTTTTCTTTATAAAATCGACAAGATAATACCATTGTGCTTTAAAAACAAACAAATAAAATAAATAACTTTTATTAATTGAAATAAATAGTATCAGGTTTAGTAATAATTAATGTCGCTTATATCATTATAACATATTGCATCAGATTATTGTATATGTACATACCATGTATCACGAGTGTAATATATATAAGTATTAATACAAAAAATATTCTTTATGAAGTATTAAATAAAATATAAGATTTTTTTCTATATATATGTAAATATATCTATATATTCTATATATCTTATGGTAAAAGTCACATTGTTGATTTTTCTATTCGTAAATAAAATGTTACTTTAAAAATTACCTAAATAATTAAGTTCTTTCAAACAAAAATAATTATTTTTTCTTTTCCAGATGAAACACACGAAATATTTAATATTCACTGAAAAAATATGAATAATAATTCATGTGCTAATTCTGTTCTTTAATCTATAATTTAGACAAGTAGGTAAAAAAAAGGACAAATTAGCGGCGTGTGTATTAGAATTTCGCCACGAACTATATCTCTTGAAAGAAATCAACAATATTTTATTGCTATATTTTTGTAATACAAACTATTGGCCAATAGGAAACGTGTATACTAACGCCATCACATGTAATATTTCCTAAAACTATTTAAAGTTATTGGCCAATAGGAAATATGAACACTAGCACCACCAAGTTAGTATCCCTTAAACCTTTTATGTTTATTGAGAATTTGGACCCTGTGCTTTTAATGACAATCATTTTATGGTGAATCATAGATGATATTCGAGCGAGACGTGTTCGGAAAAGGTTAGAATACAAGTGGAACATCAACATGAACAGAACGTAGCCTAAATTTTCTACAGATGTTAGAAGATAAGTTGTATGCATCATTCGGCGTCCTTTGATCAATTCGAGTTAAAAAGGTGAAGTGTATAAATTCAAAATGCCAGTTGTAGTGAAAAATTGCCCCCATATCGCTAATCGTGGCGATCTTACGTGTCTTGAAAATGGGATCTCTTTAAAAGATAGATATAATAAGTGCAATGATTGTAATTGTAACGGACCGAATCTTTGGTTGTGTCTTTTTCCTGATTGCCGTTGGGTCGCTTGTGCGGAAACACAATTAAATCATAGTACCCTACATAATCAAATGTTTCCTGCTCATTGTACTCATATGAACCTTACTACCAACCGTATATGGTGTTATGCTTGTAAAAAAGAAGTTATTGCGAGATACGTATCTTCACCATCATTATCACCTAATCAAGTTGATGTTAAAACTATTGGGAACAAATTTTCGGGTGATGCACCTAATAATATTGATAGTAAAATGGATGGTTTAGATAGGCTTATGTTGGACAAGTAAGTTAAATTGATCTCTTTCTCTCTCTCTAAAAATTCATTTATATTATATTATTTTTATTTAAATATTTTTAAAATCATATAAATTAATATATATACATATATATATATGTATACATATTATATATATGTTGTGTGTGTATGTACTGTGTGTTGTCTGATATCATCAATATATATGATATTGAAAACGTTCATAACAAAATCGTGGTGTTTATTATTTGTAGGTTCTATGGAGAATGGTGTGTAAATAAAATGAATAATGATAGGGGCTTATTTAATGAAAAATCTGGGGATTCTCAGGAGAGCACAGATTCGGAGGAAAGTAAAGACTTATCTGGAAAACCTAGAGGCTTAGTCGGTCTTCAAAATATAGGCAATACATGTTACATGAATTCAGCGCTTCAAGCTTTATCAAATGTGCCACCTTTAACACAGTTTTTTTTGGACTGTGGTCATCTGGTGCATTATATGTCCAAAGATAAAAAGCCTGCATTGAGCTTAAGTTATTTAAATCTTGTACGAGACATGTGGAATAAAAAAACACGTGGATACGTTGTGCCACATGGGATTTTATCTGGTATTAGAACCGTTCATCCCATGTTTCGTGGATATCATCAGCATGACACGCAAGAATTTCTAAGATGTTTTATGGACCAATTGCATGAAGAATTAAAGGAACACATCGAAGATGACAAAGATCTATTGCTAAGATTAAAAGGTCTTGGAGAACATTCATCCGATGATGATGAAACTGAAGTAGATGGTAATGGTTCGAGCCAATCAGATGCTGAATATGAGACATGTGATTCGGGAGTTAGCGAGCAGAGTTCTTTAAGCGACGAGGGAGAACGTGGTACAAAGAGACGTTATTCTCGTGTATCTCAATCAGAAAAATTGAGAAATAAGTTTACTAATAGAAGTATAAAAAAATCTACCGTAGAGCAATCTTTTCCCCAACAGCAACGCTCTGCCCCAAACTCACCTGCCAAACATCGTACCAAAAAACAAATGAAAACAAAAAGTATCATAAGCGATATTTTTGACGGTAAGCTATTAAGCAGTGTACAGTGTCTAACATGCGACAGGATTTCTACTAGAGTAGAAACATTTCAAGATTTATCGTTACCTATTCCAAGTAGAGATCATATTGATATGTTGCATCAAGGATCCCTTACACCTCAGAAAGCAGGACCCTGTTCCGATGTTGTTTACGTGACCAATCAGAATGGTTGGTTCTCTTGGCTTTTCCAATGGTGGCGTTCTTGGTTTTGGGGCCCAGTTGTTAGCCTTCACGACTGTTTATCTGCATTTTTTAGTGCCGACGAGCTCAAAGGAGATAACATGTACAGTTGTGAGAAGTGCAACAAACTACGTAATGGAATTAAATTTTCCAAAGTTCTAGAGCTACCCGAAATACTTTGTGTTCATTTAAAAAGATTTCGCCATGAGCTTATGTTTAGTTCTAAAATAGCAAATTATGTCTCTTTTCCGTTAGAAGAATTAGATATGAGACCATATTTGCATAAAGAATGCGTCTCTAAAGTTACCATTTATGATTTAATATCTGTTATTTGCCATCATGGTACAGCTGGCGGTGGTCATTATACATGTTATGCATTGAATTCTATTGTTAATAAATGGTATGAATTTGACGATCAATGTGTTACGGAGGTAACACCGGATACTGTTAAACATTGCGAAGCTTATGTGCTATTTTATAAGAAGTGGTCACCGGAAATGATGCAGTTACGAGATAGAACAATGGAACTGATGGAAATATCAACTCGTGAACCATCTGAGCTGAATTTTTTTGTATCTCGACAATGGATTAATCGTTTTAATACATTCTCCGAACCAGGGCCTATAGATAATTCTGACTTTCTTTGCCCTCACGGCGGCGAAAATCCAATGACAGCTCAAATAAGCGATAAACTTTGTATGCCTATACCACAAGCTGTTTGGGAATATCTTTATAATACGTAAGTTACAATAAAGTTGAAAATTTTCCATTTTATTTGTTAATTATAAATTTTTGTAGAACCTCCATAATATTTTATTCTTTTAGATTTGGAGGTGGACCAGCATGTACGCAACTTTACGAATGTCCAAGTTGTGAAGAAAAATATGAATCTTTGCAAAAAAGGAGACAATACGAGATGGAAATATTTCAACAATTAAATCACAATTCTGAAAGTCATGGTGCTATTTACGGTCTTGCAATGGCCTGGTTAAGACAATGGCAAAGTTTCGTTAGAGGTAAAGAAACTCAACCGCCTGGACCAATCGATAATAATTCGATCGTCGTTAATAAAAATGGGCTGAATATACTCAAAGTTGGTAAGTTCAACGATGTCGCACTTAAAATACAACAAATTTATAATTAAATATCTTTATCTCCTTTTTATAAAGAAAATATATGTATTTCGTAAAGGTTCAGATTGCGGCCAAATACCAGAAGAATTGTGGCACTTTTTCTTGAACACATATGGCGGAGGTCCAGAATTAATGTTGCATTCGTGTCAACGATCAATAGCGCCACAAGTCAATACTTCATTACATTCCGCTTCGAGTCCAAATCTCACAGATCAGAGTCTCAAGTCTGGTCGTACGGAGATAAAGTTTAATAAAGTTGCCAGAAGCTCAGAAACTATTTCCCAGCAAGATAGTGCTATTGAAAGTATAACGTCCGATAGTGACTCTCATAAAACACAAAGAGATGTCAATGAGTAAAAAGAATAATATACATAATTAATAAAACATCTCATGCATACAAACAAACACATACAATACATGCAAGCAGTACACTTATCTAATAAGATAATTTCCATTAAAAACATTTAAAGTACAGCAAGATAAATGTGTAATAAAATGATTAAAATTTTGCCTTTATCTCTTTAGATGTTACTATGTTAAAAATAAATTATTATTAGAAGACACTTTAAAAGTAAAAATATTTAATATTAAGAAGAATTTTAAGTACCACATATTTGCTTGTATAATACAATGATGTTACTAAGTGTTATTTAGATGAATCATTGATAATTTTTAATACAAACAGTCTTATTTACGTTTACAATTTGTTAATTTAATTTCTTTCTATTATCATAGAAAGTCATAAAGTATTATGTAGTTTATGTTTTGTGGGTAATTGTTGGTAGTACAAGGTTTGGTTTACAAAATATATTTTATTATTTCAACTATGAATTTCTTAAGTATCTTTTTATTTCATTTTTATTTTAATTCTTATTTTTATATTCTTTTTTTTCTACTTCAAATTGGTGACTATAATCAATTTTCTTCAGGGTTTTTATATTTTCGATATTTCTATATATATATATATTTATTATTATACTTGCTATATTTTTGTGTGTCATTTTTCTCGGTGTACAAAATAATGTTATACAAAATTCTCCATATTTATGTACATACATACACGCCATTGTATGTTATGCATTTTCTTAAAAAAAAAATCCGAACAAAAAAAACTAATAAGAAGGTGAAAGACTGACAATGAAATCTGCTATTAGTTCTCGTTATCGTCGAAAATGATGTGTCAAAGTAATGATATTCTTATGTAAATATTTAATTAACGACGAGAATAACAAAAATAATTCTTAACAGGAATTTAGAATTTTCAGTTTTTAATTATTCAAAATGATCGAATATTCCAATAATAGAGTAGTAGACATTAAAAAAAAAAAATAAAAAAAATAGAAAAGTATGTTTTACGTTATAATCGCACAAATGTTACCAGCAAAGATAGTTATGTTAATTAATATTTAGAAAGAATTAGTTTTATTCGAAATTTTATCAATTTGTGTTTATAATTATACTGCTCGTTCTTGTAGTTAGTATTAAAAAAAAGAATACAAGAGAAAAAAGTAAATAAAAAGACAGAAAAATGTCTATTATTGAAAAATTAAGATAATTAATTTAAGTATACTAATTATAAAAAAGTAAACTATGTGTGAAAGTTTTAAGATAAGTAATAATAATCGAAAAGAAATTAATTTATTAATCTCTTTTTTTTC